TGATTCTGTATCATTAATTAATGAAAGCTCACTACAATCCCTGGGGAATGAGTTGTAATCTGATACGCCCATATGACGCATGAAAACACATCCCCTCACACAATATGGCCCACTTAAGTTAAACTATATGGTAGAAAAAAGTCAATGAGGCTATTTTCATCAAAGTAATTATGTAATGTAGACTTTGTTTTGATCTGAAAATTCTTTAAACTTGTGTCCAGTCAAGAGATCAAAGAGTAAAACAAGTAAGACTTTCATCGTCTGTCTGTAAATGAGAGGTAGAACTAAAGCAGGGATCAAGATAAAGATGAAGAAAGAAGTGGAGTGGGCGGTTCTGGTATTGCAAAAGCACTGGAGCAATGAAATAATGATGAGCATGACCAGAGACTAGCTTGAGTTACGTCCTGTGCAGTCTAAGTGTATTGGTTTAGCTAGAACGAATGGAGAGAAGGAAGGAGAGCAGGAGGACAGCCGCTGAAAGTCTTGACAGCAGATTTGGCTGAAGGACAGTGAGCCGTCACAGTAAGTGTCATACGTCTTGATGTTTAGACTTGGGATGTTGTTTGCAGGGTAAGTTTGTGTTCCTTTTGTTTTTCATTCTTTATAATGTGTGGGATAAAAGACACCAGCCATCAGGTAGTTGCTTTGTTCAGCTTTTGTCAGGGTCATAATGAGATGTTAGTGACTGTGTTGGTGCATTATTAAAAGTCGTGATCAAATGTGACAACTCTTTTGAAAATGAGGAATTATCAAAATAAATACCCAATTTTCAGAAAGTCAAATTAAATGATTCCATTTGCTTCTGTGAACAACTTGACATTTTTATCTCTTGAAATCTGATCTAATATGAATAAAAAAAAAATTTTAAAGAGTCAAAACACCAGTTTGGCTCTGAATGAATTATCCAGCTGTGTCAAAAATGTGTGTATTGTGCCATTGTTCCACAAACCAGGATGCAGATGAGGATAATCTGTCTGAGGTGACCCCAAGTGACAGTAGTGATGACGTCAGTGGTGGATGGACCTACGAGTGGAGCCTCGTCCACAGTCTGAGTCCTGAGTGGGAACTTAATATCTGTGACACTGACATACAATCCAGGTGATTATCTTGTAGCCTGATTTTAGAAACCACTTGCCTGAGCTGTGAGCGTATACGTACACTGAAATAACACACTCTCTCATACAGAGAGATACTTAAGGCTGCAGGGCTTGTGCCCCATAATATCACTGAATGAGCTGTTTTAAATGAGTTTACAAAGACATTAGTTATTTGATTATATATAAAAAAATTAAGCTTAGAGCAACACTGATCAATATTCTTACATTATCAATGGATAAACATTACCAAATGTAATGTGAAAGGCATGGATCAACCCAACTTTACTTTGTATCTGAAGCTCTCTTAATGACTTTTATTGTGAGGAGGGACGTAATTGAAGGAACTATAGTATTGCACAGTTAAATATATCCTTATTTTTGTGTTTCGATGAGAACCACATAATACTTTGCACGTGTGCTTGTAGTATTAGTAATTGTTTAGGGTCAAGAAACCCTAAACAATTACTGAGAGTGAAGCGATGTATTTCATTTGCTGTCAGTTTTTGTTGTCTGTCTGTTGAGGCAGTCATCAAAGTGGACTGAAGAAGTTGTGCCAATGATTTTACTCTTAACCTAGAACAACTCCTTATAACATTTTGAGGCCTTTTCCCTGGTCACAAGCCAAGTGACTGTCCAGTTGACATATTTTACAGTTAAAAATTCTGTGTTTGCACCAGCATCATCCTTTAATCAAGCACTACCTCCTCCAGCTCTCCAAATCAGTGGGACTGTCCAGAGAGGAGCAGATCCCTCAGCTCAGAGAGGCATTGTGTGGCCCAAAGAGATATGACCCGGCTGGACCCTTCTCCCCACCAAGGCACTGAAAGCTCCTGGATGGATGAGAGGAGGGGCAGAGACAGGTCCCGCCGGGCATCAGGTCAGTCACAGATATATAATGTTCCTAAAAACCTACAGAGGAGCATCTTGAGCTTGACCTTAGAGAATATGAAGCTTCCTTGGGATTTCTTACATAGAAGCAGTGCAAAAAAACATATCCATGATGTTTGTGCTCATTCTCTCTTACTGGCTACATACGATATAGGCAATGACCCCAGGCTTGTATGATTTACAGAGTCCAGAGGAGTCAGGGAACAAGAGAGTGGTTACTTCTCTCCAGACAGAAAAGGTGATGGTGAGCGGCAGATGGAGGAGGTCAACAAAAGGGCGTACCGTTACTACGAGAGGGGACATCCCCTCCCCAGCAACTATGTTCTCGAGCCCAAAGCCTGCGTCCCCTACAGAAATGTCAACCTTGGTTTGCCCTCCCAGAGGAGGAGCACGGAGACGTATATGCAGGAGACTTGGAGAAGTGAATCCCCACAGAGGTACACGTACCACTCCAACTTCAGACAGGGAACCGACTCAGAGAGAAATTCTCCAAGCCGTCACAGCTCTGTGAGTCCAGACCGCTACAAGTTAACCGAATCTCCTGTGGGACCTCGGAGAGGAAGCTCCCACTCTAGGGGTCAGGCTCGGTCTCACGCCTCATCTCATGGCTCCTCTCAGCTTCCATCACACGGTCCTTCTCGGCATACATCAGGCAGGTCCAGTCCATCTCGCAGAAGGGGGTCCACTGCCTCTCGGACTGGCTCACCCTCGAGGGCTACCCCTTCTCACAGGCGCACAGACTCCTTCCATTTACAGAACAGCAATTATGATGCTCAAAAGGGATGCAGCCGAGAGTCGAGGAGTCCATCACAAGCTTCAAACAAACACAGTTTGGACTCTGAGAAACTCTACAGGAATCTGGAGTTTATCTCCCGCCGCGGCTCCTCGGCCAATCAGAAAAACTCATATGAAGGATCTCAAGCATCTCCGCGAACGAGAACAACTGTCAACAGCTCGGCCAACACTCGCAGTCGCAACAGCCGGGAAGTATCACCATCCAGGAACGGCTATAGTACGCACAGCCACACCCCACGGAGGGAGCCCCGCTCAAGAGAAAGCAGACTGAGTCCTTCTCAAGAGTCGTGGCAGGGCTCCGCACACTCCTTACTCCTCGCACCATCACGTGGTTCTTCTGCATCAAGACGAGGTGCAGACTCTCAGGTGCTTGGCGGTTCAGTGTCCCGTGCTGCAGTCACTGAAACTGATAAAGGCAACGAGGGGAATAATAAGGTCAGCGGTGACAGAAGCAGGAGCAACATGAGGCGAGGCATGGAGGCCTTGCTGATCTCTGAACCCAGGAAGGATGCAGTAGAAACTGAGGAGGTGCGTATTGTACATTGGTTTTTAGCTCCACTCGCGACGTGTTGTGGACTTTTGCGACCCTCTGACTTTTCCTCTAGCGCCACCATGAGGTTGACATTTTTTGCTTCATACTAAAATGTTTCCACCACTTCTGGATAGTTTATCATGAAATTTGACTCACACATTCATGCTCCCCTCAGGATAAAGTGTAATAACGTTGATGATCCGCTGACTTTTGATCTAGCGCCACCCTTGTGTCTAAATTGCATTTGGTGCAATATTTTTTTTTTATGATTTAATAACAGCAAAAAACTAAATTTATGTCAGTCTCATCGCCCTCAACTTTAGCATGACTGTAGACTCTTAATCTTATGTTCAGTGTCAATGACAACTCCAAAAAGTTGATAAATCTTTCTGAATCTGAGGTGGGGATGACCATGGAGGACTACATAGTGCTGGCTGATATTCCAAAGATCCAGCTGGAGTCAGAAGAAGAGTTTCCTGGACTGAGGAGGAGGAACCAGAGTCCCAGCCCATGCAGGGACGAGAGACTCAGGACATACAGGTTAGTAGTACCACATGGTACTGCATGGTGTCATCATCTATTCATGTATTGCCGTAACATAAGTCTCATGACTGTTCATTTATTCTGCATTCCTAGTGTACGTGTGTCTTAAAACACTCCCCTTGGCAGCTGGAAGATAAATAAATAGTAGTTTAGCATGTTTGAAAAGTAGACTCAGAAGACTTAGAAGATCTTTTGATCTGACCATGAGTAATTGCCTTAGTTATGGCCAAAGAAAAGTGCTCTTGAAGCCTTTGTAGAGGTATGTGAAAATTCAGTGAGAAAAAAAGGATGTAATATATTCTTATAGTTTGTTCATGTGTGTGTCAAAGAATAAACATATCTTTCCTATACATCATAATTTGGTTCTGAAGGCACCAAGACGAATTGGACACCTACAGTTCAAGACTTGAGCCAGATGAGAGGGGGAGAGGCAGAGAGAGAGGGAGAGACAGACGAGAGAAGTGTCGGGACTCTGAGAATGGACGATCATCTCGAAGACAGTCAGCGGCATCTCTTCATGCACAGGTACGATGAAGTAATTTTCACAATTACATATACGCTTAAATACAACAAAATCTTTAATCCTGTCTGTTTTTTTTAACATAGAGTTCAGATAATCAGAGTGGAAGGCACTTATCCTCAAAGCTGAAGGAGCGAGCTCCTCTTGAACGCCCGCAGACACAGGTGAGCACTGTCCCATGACTTTCTGCATCTGTATAAATCACATGAGTGTTTGGAGGAAAATGGGTCATTCATACATTCATTCTAAAGTAGCTCCTTGATATTTATTTCAGCTTTTTCACCCCGGGCACCCCTCTCATAGAAGCACCTTGCAGTAAAAAGCCATTAGTTAGCACTCTATGTTTTAGGGCAGCATGTTCATATGATTTATTATCTTTATTATTAGATTCTAGGATGGTTCAAGCCAGTGTATCCTGCAGTCTCAGTGTTGCAGCGTCACACATATAACTGCTGAGCCAACAAACACAAAGGGATGGATGATCGCAAAATGAAGAAATTTAAATTCTGTTATTTCCGTGCTGTGAATCACACGCAACCACGCAGTTCATTGACTTTCACACAACAATTCCATCTATAGTAATAAGAGCTATGTGTGACGACACTATGCTAACTTCCTCTTTCTGTTCACTTCACATTATGCTGTTTCGTCTTCTCAGTCTCTCTTATTTCTTTCTCTCCCCCACATCGGGCACAACATGATGCATGCGTGGTGAGTATCTTCTGTTATACAGCACCTGCTTTCTTACAACTCAGTCTAAAATTTTTTTTCATCAGTTCCTCTTTCTCTTCCCTGTTCCCACTTCCCACTGTTTTACAATGACGATCACGGTTTTCAAAAAAGACTACACCTCTTCCTTTTTTTTACGCTCCCATTCTGCATATTGTTTCCTACATTTCATGCTTCAGTATTTTGCCTGCCTCTCTGTGCATGCTTCACAATGATATCGCTATCTTACCAAGACATGTTCGTCTGCCACGACACTTTCTGTTTCCTGTAATTTCACAATCAAACTACTACAGAATACTTTTAAAGAGCTTGTGCTTCATACTTTAATTGCAGATGTGGTTACTTGAAGGGTTGGATGTCCAGACTGGATGAACATGGCAAGGTAAATAAAAATTTTTGCAACAATTTTAGTTTAATTCATCCAAAATGAAGTTATTGTGGTATTCTAGCATCCTGTACTAACCACAATGTCACATTCACAGACAGACAATGCAAAACCAAAATAAGACATGATGTTTAAACTATCCAGAAAAGCGACCACTTGCATCAAAATGTCGATGTGTTCTAATCTTATGCCACGCAATAATTTGATTGTCCGTGTTTATTGTGTTTTGCTCAGTGGAAGAAACACTGGTTTGTTCTGGGTGACACTTCTCTGAGGTTCTACAGAGACTCGGAGGCTGAGGAGGTATGACCTGATAGGTGACATAAAAGTATGTCCTTATTTGTCAGAACATTTCCTATATTTTAATCTATAACAATTAATTTCAATCTGTATGAGTTGAAAGGGTTTTATGTATAAGGTTGCCACTAACGTCTGTTTTCCTAAAACAATTCTATATGATAAATTCATTCTTCTTTGATGTTTGGGCTGAAGAATTATTTGACCTGATTGAATCTGAGCTCTTCTCATTGTGCTGCAGTCAGATGATCTGGACGGAGAGATCAACCTGACATCCTGTGTGCATGTGTCAGACTGTGACATAGAGAAGAGCTATGGACTCCAAATACAAGTGTGTATTTACTGTACTTTTTTTTTTGCTCGTTTTGTAAAGTGCACCACAAGGCAGATGGACAGTCAGACACACCCCCCCCCCCCCCCCACCCCATTTCCACATCAATTTCATGTTTTGCTGCTTCCTGTTTAAACAGTGTGGTGTGTGTGTTGTGTGTCTGTGGCTGGGCCTGAGTGCGTGTGTGTGTGTGTGTGCGCGCGCGCGCACGTGTGCGTGTGTGTCTTCGATCTGCCTTTTGATCTCCTCCAGACAAAGAGGGCAGTGTTCACTCTCTCTGCTATGACCTCCAGAATACGGCGGATGTGGGTGAAGTTACTAAAGCAGGCGATCCAGAATAACACGCAGTGAGTCTGACTTTACCTTTAATGTAGTAAATAGCAACATCACACTGTAAAAAATACTTCATTGCAAGTCCTACATTAGTATAGAAATACTATGTATTATAATTTTTATTGCTGATGCCTTAATAAAAAAATCATATTTTTATAAATCCATCAAGTGTTTTGTATGTAAGGCCATGTAAATGTAGAGGAGTAAAAAGTACCTAAACTTAAAAAAATACAGATTGTAGTAATGTAGACCTAAGATAAAACAGAGAAAAAGAAAAGGGGTTAAGAGACGCAAGGGTCAAAGGCAGTGGACAATTCATAGTTGACCAACAAGCTACTGCTACTATAAAGACACATTATATTAAATAATGTGTGTGCCTGTGTCAGTTTACACACAGACTTCACTGGCCATGTACCTTGGCTCTTCATGGGTCCTATGTCTTCTGTAATAGAACCAACATAGTAGGTCTACATATAGGAAATAACATAGGGAACAAGATAAATAAATTACACATTATGAGTAGTGATAATATTATTTGTTCATATTACTGCAAAATATACAAAATTCCTGAATGTAATTCATTAAATATGAGTCACATAGATGTGAAAATTCCTGAACACTGTGAAGAAATGCCGACGAAGTGACTGGGTGGTCTGTCTGCAGTGAACCCCCTCTATCATCTTTCTTCTGATGTGTAACCCTACTCTTCTTGTCTCTCCCTCATTCTGACCTCAGCCAATCAGACACCGGCAGCGAGAAAGAGAACTCCCTCTCCCGGAGACCGTCGTCATGCCAACCACTCGCTCGGTTCACCAGCAAAGACTCTGGCTATGAACCTACCACTTCCACCTCCACCACCACCACAGCTGCAAACTCCCATCAGGCCGACCGCCACCACCAAACTGTAGAGGGGCATCCGGACGCTGACATATCTCCAGCCAGTCAGAGAGGAGAAGGGGAGGGCTGGGACCGCGAGCAAGCGAAGCGATTAGAGGAGCGGAACAAGTGGTTTGAGGAGGGAGTGCCCTTCAGTGAGATGGGCAGCAGGTGGGACTCCATGGAGCTGAAAAAGGGGAGTGTACCTGTGCCTGTCATCGAAACCATGGACTCAGTGGTCAACAGGAAGTGGGCAGAGTTCGAAACGCTGTCATTCGGGGACATGAGTGCGCAGTCTCTCATTGGTGCCCAGGCAGATCAGTCAAGCACCCCACAGGCATCACAGTCACTAGTTAGCTCCCAGACTTATCAGTCGAGCCGTGAGGATGCTGAACACTCTGTCAATGGTTCACAAGCTGATTTAACAAGCTCAAAGGGGGCTCCTCCATCTATAAATGATGCACAAACTATTCAAACAAATACAGCCGAAGCCCTTCAAAAGGAGGTAAGAAGGAACTTAAAGTCACTCCATTAAATAATTACAAAAGTAATGGGTAGAAACACTAGTAAGACATTCCTTTAAAGTCTTTTCAATGCAAGGAAATTATGACGTTATTCCCCCAAACATTTTCTGCAAATCTGTCTCCCAGGCCCACTCTCTTCGAAAGCAAGTGGAGAGCATTAAGAGAGAGCGTGCAGCCATGGGCTTTGAGTTGGACAGCCCATGTGGCCCTGGGGCCCCCTGTAGGGCCAGACTAGAGGCCATGGAAGTAGCCCATCGGAAAGCACTGCAGGAGCTGCAAGAGAAACACGAGAGGGAGATCAGGCAGCTGGAGGAGCAGAGAGACAAGATGCTGCAGGAGGAGAGCCAGGCAGCTGCTAATGGTAAGTCAGAAAGTAGTATTAAGCAACAGGAGCTGAGGAGATACAGTTTAACATGATTCAAGTTAGGTTAAGGGTTTGTTTTTTCTTAGCAGATGCTTTTATTATACTTACTCTATCACATTCTTGAGTTTGAAAGTTCATTATTGACCCTTCTTGGTAGTAAATATCTAAGGACGAGAGCTACAAGATGTGGCTGCAATCTGTCGACCTCTTGCTAAGAATTTTTTTCTAACAATAATATTTTTGAATTTTACATCACAATTCCCTACAAGAACAATTTTTACAGTTTCCATACTTGTACATTACCCCGTCATACCATAAGATTTTATTTCTGATTCTTTTAACTCACAATCCTAGAAATCTGTACTATAGCCTTAAATCCCACTGTGTTCCTGCTACTATCACTTCTATAAATTGTTAGAAACTCTTAATAAACAAAAATTTTTGTAAGTATTATTAGTTAAATATCTGGTTTTACATATCTGGGGAATGTGATAGTGAAGGAAGAAGTACTCAGATCTTTTACTTAAGTAAATATAGTTGTATCACAGTGTACAAATATAGTCTTACATGTTAAAGTCACGCGTTCAAAATTTTACTTGAGTAAAAAGTATTATTAGCAAAATATACGAGTTATAATTACTGATGTATTAATGCATACATTACTTATGTACACTTTAATGTTGCAGCTGGGAAAAGTTGGGTTTATTTTAACAACTTTATATACTAATAGGTAGTTTGATCTATAATAATACACCATAATGTATTTATTGATTATACTGTATTATTAACTCTGAATCTACAAAGTACTGGAACAGGTAACTAAAGCTGCCAAATAAAAGTATAGAATAGAGTAAAGAGTAAAAGGTGCTATGGTTCCCTCTGAAATGTAGTGGGCTAGAAGTATAAAGTAGCATGAAACTGAACCATTTAAGTAACCTACAACTGCCTCAAAACTGCACTTAAATACAATACTTAAGTAATTGTACTTAATGTAGTTATTTTCCACCACTGGACTGCGATTTATGTATCGACTGTATTATGTTATGACTGTATTTGTAAAAAATCCTGCAGAGAAGTTACATTTTGAGTTAGAAGACATGTAACCCTAACCCTACTTTGGGAATGGCATGCAGGACATTGAGTATTAACTAATACATTTTTCATATTTTTCATTTGATATGTAAAGTTAAATGTTAAGTGAAAGTGAAACTGTAGAAAATAGTTAATAAAGGCAGGACACATATAGAGAAGCCCCAGATGTTTCCAAGTGAAAAAGATGATTTTACCTGAAATGTTACCCTCAGGGAGGTGTTAAAAATAAGTAGTAGCCACTGCATTTTTGTACTTGTATTTACTGTATGTCTTTTAGAATAATTCTGTTTATAGATGATATGTTCTTGATATCTGTCCTCCATTAACTTCTTGTGTTAAAGTTAAATCTGTGTAGTGAAGCCAAAGATAATTTTCCACAATGTGGACAATTAAGTTCCTACATGTAACTAATTAGCCAACTGTTAATCAAAGCTATGGAGGCGCTGAGAGCAGCTCACAGAGAGGAGGTGCAGAGAGAGGTGGAGAAGGCCAGGAGGTTGTCTGGAGGCGCTGCACACGTGGATACTTCATACAGAGGGCACATGTAAGTCTATTACAGGCACTTTGTCATCATGCTGAGAGCATTCTCCATCTCACAGGCTCTCGCTGCAGGCTTAAGATGTTCTACACTCGACCATGACCCCTTGCATGATAATTTAGCACATTATAATTTACTCCACAACTCATGTGTGTTGTGTGTGTGTCAGGCCCCAGGCGGACGTCTTGCACAGTGAGTTAGATGTGCTGTCAGAACGCTACTCTCAGAGGTGCCTGGAGCTGAGCCGCACCGAGCAGAGCAGCAAGAGCCGGGAGACGGAGCTCGGCCACAAGGAGAGAGAGCTGGAGCTGCTCCGAAGAGAGAACCAGGTTTATATACAGTACATGACTGATATTATTCTGTTTTAAAACAATACCATGCCACTTTATTGATTAATATAATTGCCATCAGATTCTATCTTTTGTTTCTTTTAGGGTTACATTAAGAAATAAATATAAGCTACAACATTAATAAGCATGCTGGGTCACAATATTTCTTCATAGCATAGTCTGAGCTTAACGTTCTCTTTCATTCAGGAGCTTAAGGCCAAACTGGCGGAAGAGATCAGCCGCATGCGTTATTTCATCACAGGGCAGAGGTCGGACATGGTGTCTCCTGGCAGGGCCGAGCACACTGCGTCAGAAGTAGAGGTATTGATAGAAATCAAGTTCAATGTTTGTGACCTAATTAGATCCTACGCAATCTCAACTCATGTAAAAGTAGGTGATACTAAAGCATCTTAACCTCTTGGTGCAGCTCAGCCCAGTTTCATTTATTGCACCTGAAATATTAACCTGAAAATTGACTTTACTGTCATCATATGGAAGCAAAAAGTAACATTTGACTTATGTGCTGCGGGATGTCATTACCACTTTAAAAAAACAGATTGACCACAGTATTTTTACTGTTTGGTCTCGTATCCCCAATAGTGGCTCCCTGTAGCAGCACTGTCGCACCTTCCTTCTGTTTTTTCCTGGTGGCCTCATTTGTCTTGGGCATCTGTGGTTGGTCACATTCTTGTGCAGCAGATGCTGCCACCTACTGTCTGAACTACAGTGCATGTTTCAAAATAACAATCATCTACGTCACTTGTGCTACAATTAAAAAGTTATCTCTAAACATCCTGGCGTCCCAAACTGATTCAAATTCAAATATCTATTTAGACCTGCAATGATTAGCTGATTAATTGATTATTTAATCGACAGAAAATGAATTGGCAACTATTTTGATAACTGATAAATCATTTAAGTCATTTATCAAGAGAAAATGTCGAAACATTCTGTTTCTAGCATCTCCAATGTGGCACTGTGCTGCTTTTCACTGTTTTATTATATTGTAAATATACCTAAATATCTGGGTTTGGATTGTTGGTCTGGCAAAACAAGTGATTAGAAAACATCCCCTTCAGTTGTAGAATATTACGATGAGCATTTTTCCACTATTTTCTAACAAATTCTGAGGCTTACAGAATCAACAATATCCTTTAAATCACTTCTTAAACCCTTTTTAAGGTATTATTTGTTTCATCCTTTTTATCTTGTTATTCTACTTCATTCTCTGTATTTAAAGTGGCGTAGTTGTACTTAATTTAACTGTATTGCCTTAATTCCCTTGCCTTATAACTTTGGAAAATTGCTTTTTCAGTAAAGTTTATTATTTTTTTATTCATTATTCATGTGGTAAAACTAATTGGTCACATTTTACATCTTTCAGATACTGCTAAGAGCAAAAGACAATGAGCTGCAGTATCTTAAAAAAGAAATAATCTGTCTGCAGAGAGAAGTACAGTCTCTCAACAAGGTATGTTTTATGATCTGACTTCTCACATTATACAAATGATCAAAAATAATACACTCCTACATGTTGTAGATTTGCAATTGCTTGACTTTGATGTGTCCACCATATTTGTCTCAACCCTGACTGTAGGAGAAAGAAGCAGCTTATGACCGTTACAAGGAGGCATATGTAGAGCTGAGTGACATGAAGGGTCGTAGCCAGCTGGAGATGGGCTCCCTCAACGAACACTTGAGACTGGCCAACGCTGCACTTCAGGAGGGAGCAAGACAGACCTGACTAATGAGGATAACCATTTTAAATTTACATGGAAAATCAAAGACAGCAAGCCAATATAAAATATAACAAAATATAACAACAACATCATTATACTACAATAATATGTGTTGCTATGACTGGATATGACTTGTAAGAGTCAGAATAATTATGGAACTATTGTGTACTTGTAAACCACCATGCAAAGACTATTAAGATTAAATAACAAGTGTTTTCCACATGTAATTTATTGAGTCGATTGAGTTGACAGACACAAACATGCAAACAAGAGTGAGGCTATAATTAGCAGTTTTGACAGCCTCACATGATATGAGATTTCTTAAATGGTTCCAATGAAAACAAGATAAGTAGCAGAGGAGGGAGATGGGTGGAGGTAGAGGGATGTCTTTGGAAGTCAAAGTGCCCCATCTTCCCCATTGTCCCCGTGCTGGCTGGTATGCTCTCAGTCAGTATTGCAAAGCACCCTGTGGATGTAAATAAATAAAAAATGTCATCAGTTTTCAGCTGTTACCAGTTGTCATCCCTGCAAACATGCCACAAACTACACCCTTTCAACGCATAAGATTGTGCATAAAAAGGTCCAGGCCACAGTGTCTAAAGGTTAAATAAGGTGTGGCTAATGTACACTGTGATTTTACCATTCATTTTCTTTAGTAAGCTCAGTCATCGTCGTCGTCATCCTCAGGGACAAAGATGTCATGTTCCTCCAAAAGAGCGGCAAAGTTCTTGCTGATCAGAGTTCCAACATACAGGAAAGGCACCACCACCACTGTCATACGGATAAGACCAAATGGTGTCTGGAAAACATGAGGATGAAATGTGACATCAAAATTAAGGATTAATTTAAGTGTGGACCCAAGAACTGTCCAGATGACCAATCATAAAATCAGTCCCCATCTCTTCTTGCTATAGAGTATTTCAGTCTAGATTTAAGATCATGGGCAACGCAATGCAAAGCAAAGCAGAGAAAAGATGCTGGTGGATCATCTAGATGACAGGCATTGGGTGTAACAAAGCCAAAATCTGTCAGCAGTAGGCTATGTGAAACATTTCACAGGTTGGGTACTGCATTTACCTACCACTTCAAAGTGTTTCTAATTGAAAATGCTTTGAAATAAAGTATAATATTATACATACAGTATATATAGCTTTATGGGGGGCCTGCTTTTGAAGAGGGCCCCTGCCAAAATGTAGTTTAAAAACCTTCATTATTTCAGTGCATATTAATAATAAAAGTATCAAGTTAACCAATACTAATTTTTGGACATGGTAAACCTGAAAGCAGAAAAATCTGCAGAGAGTGGGAGGTGTGTGGGAGTGATAACGGGCCCGGTGCCTAATCTTTGCCTCTGGCCCCACGCATGTTATTTCAGCCATTAGTCCAGCGATTGTTAAACTGTTTTGGACAACTTCTTTAATTTGGCCTTTAGGAAGATTTTTCTGTTTTCTCCAATTATACAATAGTCTGAGAAAAGTTAGAGGCTAATGTGGATTTTTTCCGTTTGGTCGTAGATATTGGGGGATGTTTGTAAATCAACGAGTTGGTAATTGATATCGAATGTAGGGTTATTTTAGCCGCACAGTACAACAAAAATTAAAAATATAGACTTGTGTTCCCCTGATATGAGCATAAATCCTTCATTTTCCTCTAACAGTGTGACCTTTCTTGCCAACAACGCACAGCAGGGTGTGTAGTGTTTAGGTCAAATTGTTACTCGCTAAACAAAGCAGTCATTCAGGACCCGATCATCTAATTACACAATATTTCCACTGACAACATAAAATTGTCCACTTATAACAAAATCGTAAAAAGCTATGTATACGTTTTAGGAACTTCCTGAGAGTGCCCCATCGTTCGCGTAAACACACGTTTCATTGGTTGATTTGACTGGCTCAGCGAGTTTCTACCTTCCTATTGACCACAGCTGGTGTCAATTCAGAACTAAGCCCCGCCCATGCAGTTGCCTAATTTCTGGTCGGTTTATTCGTCGGTAACTGTGGCAGAAAAAAACTCACTTTATCCGGTTTCGGTAGGATTGCCCCCGAAGGCGTCGATACTGCAGTTCGGATTGGAGTCGTCCTGGGTATGTTTGATGCTTTCAAGCCAGTGTTACGGCTCATTATCGCCGTATTTCTGGTGGAAAGTCGCAGAGGGAGCCGCAGTATTCTCGTCGCCATTTCTTCCGGTATATGTGACTGACAGGGAGGGAGGGACTTGGATGATTTATCATGGGCGTGTGGGTGTTGACGTTTGGACACTAATAGTTATCAAAAATTTGGACGCAAAAGATAATTTATCAGGTGTACACTGCTATATATTTATAGATATTTGTGCCAGTGAAGTATTCGTACATATGATGTCACCAACTGCTGTTTTTTCATTTTTCAAATAAAAAATTGTGTATATGTTTAACAAGCCAGGATCTTCAACTAATGATATTTAAGTCCATTTGTTTAAGTTAATTTCAAGTGTCGAATTAAATCATTTAATAAAATAATGTTGGAGCCAGGAAAGATATCATCACTGATATAGACTACTCAAAATAACTGAGAGTAATCACAGTGAAAATTAATAAATTAAGTCTTACCATCTCTAAATTTTAAAAAATCACATTAAATAGTCTATATTTAAATATTTTCTACACCTCCATTTTAAGCTTAACCGATGTGAAATCTCTAGTATACTGCTTTAACTTGATTACAGTATTTAGTGCAGTAAATGTGACAGTTCAAACAAAACATTTCTGAACTGTCTGTTGCTGCCTGGTGTATTCCATATATCAAACATGTCTCCGATAGAAATGCTCATATAGTATACCAATTAGTCTCCATGAGATTTCATGTAATGTAATTTTCCATTTTCCACATTAGTAATTGTCGCTTTTGGTGTGATCAGGACTGTAACTGGGAACACTTAAGTCATGATCTCACTATTCTTTTCTGGGAACTTGAGGGTTTCATTAGAAGTTCACATTCTACGATTAAAAACTTGCACATGGTGAATATTTAATCAGCTAATTTAAGTGTGTCTAAACTAATTATATGTAAATATGAGTATTTTAAAGCCAGCCCAAATCGTTATAATATTATAAAAAAGTGTCATGCTTTGGAAACACAATTCACTCTCTATCATGTTTGTTATTCAAGACATTTATGTAAAAATTCATATTCATTTATTCAATTTTTTATCTTCACAGTGAGGTGTAACGTTACGACACCGACCAGCGCGCGAGGCCGACTGCAGCACTTCCTCGAGGCGGAGGAACGGGGGCGCGCTCCGCATGGACGCGCACGGACGGGAAGTGGAGAGACGGAAGAAAGGACGTTGAATAAACTTGCCAACTTCTATCTGACTGGCTAGAAATACAGTCGGAGACTATGTTACAGCACAATTGGCGTTTGATTTCGATATAAATTTAGCCGGCTAGCCAAACGCCCTGTCTGTATTCAGTCACCGCTGTCTCTACTCGACCAGCGGACTCCAGCAGTTTTCAAACAGACTTGCTCAACCGACCCGGAGCCGTCCAACGTTATAAAGTCACATTTATCTGCTAGTAAAGTGGTACTACAACCAGTAAATTGTACTGACGAGACACACAACTAACTCGCTGGCTCAGCGGGACTCGCTGGCTTTTTCTCCTTGTGGGAAAAGTTGTCCGCGGTGGTGGTGGCGGAGGAGCCGCGGACGAGGCCTGCAGTTGAGGAGGCTGCGTGTGTGAGGACCGCAGCTGGCGAATAGTGACTCACACGGCGTTATTTAGCTAAACATCCAGACAAACATGTCGGCCCAGGCGCAAATGCGAGCGATGCTGGACCAGCTCATGGGGACGGGGAGAGACGGTGAGCTCGGCTTGCCTTGGTTGAGATCAGCGTTTGATTAAAACCAGGGCAGGAGTTTTGAGTTGTTGCTAGCATTAGCCGGGGCGAGCTAACCAGTCTGCCACACAGGGAGGCATGCTTTAGAAACCAAGCTAGCTCACATGAGGATAGCCAGCCGGCTAGCTACCTGTTGTCTTTGAGTTTACATGACAAGTTCCGGTGTTATGAATATCTCATATAAAACCTATCTTGCTAATATTTTAACATTTTACTTGATCACGGTCAGTGTGCTCGTTTCTTCGTGGCTCCATTTCTTCCCACCAGATGTTGTCATTTTATCTGAGTCTATCCACAGCTAACTTTAAGCTTTACTGGTGAGGTTAGAGATGTATGACGCATTCATTACAAGTCTGACTCTGGGAAACAGTGATTTAGTATGTATCATGTTTTAGTCCCGGTGTCTGACTCGCTTAAAACGAGATTAAACGTCTTAACTCGTGTGTGTACTGTTCTGGTTTTCTTTTTACAGGAGACACCATGCGGCAGAGAATCAAATTCACAGATGAGCGGGTCTGCAAAAGTCACCTTTTGGATTCATGTCCTCACGACATTCTGTCAGGCACCGTGAGTATCATGTTTACACATATACTCCTGTACACAGAGAGCATTATCTTGTATCATGCAGTCATAAAGTGCAAAGACATTTTATTTTATTGGTTCTGTGTCCACTCCAGCACATTGGAAATGATACAGCAACTATATGGTGAAAGTACTGTATTCAACCTCTTTTATACAATTGTTTGTGTACATTATGATTTCAGGACCATGTTGCAAGCCAGTAATTGTAAATATACAGACAAAGCTACTAAGAGGTTACTTTTCATCTGCCCTTCATCCAAATATTTCACTGTCTTCAGGTTGAATTGAAGGCAAAATGCCCTGAAAAAAAAACGGAGTATAGCTGCAGTACAGGCCTTATCTAGCATCACAAGGAATGGTACCAAATGTCAGCTGATCTTTTGAATCATAGACTTCAGCCAGATTTTGACTGTTTAGGACTGAATGTAACTTTTAGCTTGTCTAATTACTTTCTGTTCCCTCAAACCGCTGAATTAATAAGGCTACAGTTTGCACACAGTTCATGCTTATAAAATCTGAGAATCATCAGTTGAACCTCAAAAGCACTATTTAATTTCAAATTCAATATGCTGAAGTACAAAGCCAACACAGATATGTGCTGCTGTCTCAATACTTTCTGGCTAATGTGATGCCATGTAAAATGCTCAGG